ATCGAAATCACCACTTTTAAATCTTTTAAATCAATTTTGATACAATATTAATTGCTACTGAACTCCATAAAGCCCACAAATTATTCTGGTGCTTTAGTGGTTTTACCGTGATGAAAATAGCATGCAGTATAACCAATATGCATCTTTTCAGTGTCCACTTTCAATTAAACTAAAAATATAATTAATAAAATATAGTTAATTGGGCGCGGAAATTTAAATACACTGTTGTTAGCACTATTTAAAATTAGTCATAAAAACCTATTTATACATCTATTTCTATCTATTTCTATCTATTCAATATAAGTAATTGATTTGACTTATTATCTTATTCTTCTTTTAAAAATTAGAAAAAATAAAGAGTAAATTAAATCAAGATTAAAATTAATCTATGTATATTGGTAGAAATGGACTTAAATATATATATCAGGATGAATGGCAAAAGGATTTCGTTTATTACCGTAAAACACACATGTACATTCTCAGATCATTTATTAAATTCTTAATTATAATTCTTGGTATTATTGATATCTTTTTATTACCAATATCTTAACATACTGTAATTATCTCGTAATATGCCTGGAGATATTGTGATGCCATCTTCGTTACTGCACATGAATATCTTCGTCCATTACTGAAGCTGTTCTGTTTATCTTAAAGAATCCTAAACAATCCTGGAACCGCATATTCGCGATTCATTGGCGATTCGAGTTTGATTGGCGAAAGTAATGTGAGCTCAAAACACCATTGTCAAGCCTGTTCAAAACCATCGTAAAGTGACGAAAGAAGTACAGGTGGTGACGGTGCATTCTTTTTTTTGTGTGTGTGTGTGTGTGTGTGTGTGTGTGTGTGTGTGTGCACAATCTCCTCGTCTCTATCATTCCCTCGTAACTGGAAGTCAAGATCAAGAATCCATTTGATAATCTGAAGATGGGCGCCTCCATTATAGAAGAGCTCTCCCTCCTGGTGGATACTTTGATGATTCCATCTAGCTTTACGAGTTATGGTTAAGAGACCAAGTTTTTTTTTCCCTCTATTTTATTCCTCTTGTGAGGGACTCAATTTTATAATTCCCTATCTCGTGTTTTTTCCCCTGCTTATGTCTCTTTCGTTAACACCGCCGGTTCCTTTGCACTTAACAGTTATTCACGATAATAATGCGTCAATCCACGAGATACCCTTTTGTTCCTCGTTATCATAACTACTTGAAAAAACGACATAAGATCATTTATGAATATGTGTGTGTTCATATTTCGCGCTAAACATAAAGGTACAAATGTGGACGTCGATACATGAGTAGCGCGGAATCATCTAATCTGTCTGTTGGACACGACTTTCATAGGCGATTCCAAAGGTCCTTTGGAGTCTTAGAGACTTGGAGCAAAGTCGGTGGCGAGCTGTCTGAAACTTACAAGTTAAAAGTAGCTGATAACTCCATAAAATAAGCGAGCAGATCGATATATCGAATTTGATTTCGCTCCGTAACTTCCTCGTTCTAAAAGAGCCACCGGACTGCATACAATTAGAGCGATAATATTAATATCCTAGACCGTCGTAGAGTACTTTGTAAGAATATAAAACGTACGCCCTTTTCTGTCGCGTGAATCATGCATTGTTTACGTGTAAATATTTCCCGCTCCCTGCCTCCCGCGGTCCACTACGATTCTCTAAATTCTTGGCACACAGTTACGCGTTGTCCTCGTCGTTGCGACGACCTATATGTCTAAAAGAAGGACGGCCGGCCGTACGCGAAATCGTTAACGAGGCGATTCTCGGAGAGGCGCATTCGTCATCCGCCCGTCAGCTGTCGAGAGATACGAGCGTACGAGCGCGTTTCTCTACATTCTTTGTGATCGGCTTGCGCTTAATACATAGCATTTAAGGCAAACGCGGAGGGGCCTTTCACGAATCGTCATTGTGCGCACTCTTGATCTACTATTATTAGCGGCTCACGAACCCCAACGGAGGAAAAGTTCTACCCAGTTCTACCTTCCTCGCGGGAGTGA